TTGAGGTACATGTTAGAATATTAATTCTCCTGTTTACACACTAACATCTTTTATTAGGGACGAAGTGGCTAGGTATGTAAGAGAGTGCAGTTGGCACGACAAGATTCTTAGTTGGTGATCCGCCTCCAAGCGAATCAGTTGCCCTGTTATTATACTAGGAGGAAGGTCGCTGAGCAGAGACCTAACGCTTATTCTTTGGAAACTGCTTACGTTTTCTCGATTTTCCTAACAAATGTTACACATCGTATTGCTTTCACATCCGATTTTCTTTCCTATGCGTACAGTCTTTCATTGCTACCCAATTTGTCGAGCCCACTTCCTACAAAACTTGGACAATGAGGTTTTAGGCGCTCCATCGCTTCAATTTGCAAATCAAGCCGCTAATAGAGATCTTAGCAAGCTACTAATAGATCTGCTGATTCACGAATCAATTCAAATCGAATCAATCAATTGATCATTGTATTTTTGATAGCTACTCATTTGATGTAGTGAACAAACTTTTAACTTTCTCGGTCTTGTTGTTCTTGAATCTTCTAGTGAAATTTGAATTTATGATGGGCCAAAATCCGTTGCCCTTCAATCTCGCTGGCATTCAGCCATGGGTAATTTCATCAACCTACGTAGCAACGCCGACCTCCGCTCAAGTCCCAAGTTGTCCGTCAGAGGCGACTTAATCCTCCCACACTACACAAACAGCAGTGGCGATGTGCACGCTTCCGTGTGCAATCGTACAATTGTCTTTGTCAAGGACCGTTCGTGTCAAGCTGTCTTTCCTCCTGACTGTTTGTTTTCCAATGGCTTCCGTGAAGAGGCTGAAAACTACTTTTTTTCCACAATACCCACCTTAACTCTGGAATTACTTTCAAAAATGTCAGTGAAAGTTGAGACTTCTATATAATTCGTAAGATGAGAGGGCGTTGAGTGGAACAGCACGGTCACAGTGGAGATGCAGCTGACTACGGGAAATTCTGTAATTAACAAAATTTAAGTGGAGGTCCGGTAAAACCGTTGTACCACTAAGTTTTGTACCTTGATTCACCGTTTCAAGCGTTCCAGCTGAAATCGCTACAATTCAGAATATGCTCCTAACGAATTACCCCTTTATTCGTGGGCATTTCCACTTCACCTATTCATTTAAGTTTGCAACGTATAGGTAAAATGAATAGGTGAAGTGGAAATTCCCACAATGAAAGGGGAAACTCGTTAGGAGCAATTTTTTAATTACAACGATATATTGTCTACGAGTGGGACTTATGATTTTATTTTTTTATATTTTAACTTTTTATTATTTTAACTTTTTTATTTTTTATATTGGCTCTGCGGATTTGTTCAGCTAGATTTGTCTTTTTTTTTCAAATTTAGGCCAGGAGGTAACTAACTGCGGAAGCACCACGTTTGGAATGAGTTGACTGCGGCTTTTTTTGTTTATTTCTTAACTTCTTTTTTAACAATTTTTGTGCAGGTTGGAATAGTCACTCCCTAATGGCTTGGGAAATTGTCAAAAAGTCCATTATTCAGTAGCAGTTATACATTTCACTCGTTCCGCAGAGGGAACGGCAATTTAAAAAAAAAAAANCCCCCCCACCCCATTGCAAGTGACTTTTGAAGGGAATTCCTACGCCGTCTGATCGAATGAATCACCTTGCTTTATCAGTTCATATTTGGTATGTCACGTTTCCTGCAACCCTCGTAATTCGTTTCCTAAGAAGAAAAAAAGTCGAGCAAATCGTTCTTTCCTTTTATACAGAGGGAAGCTCATTTTTGTTCTCAAAATTTACGCCAGGGGACAGTCTGTTGGGGGAGCACCACTCCTAGGGAAGTCATGGCCAAAAAGCCTTTTCCATGTGTTGTGTCTATTCGCTATTAGCACCTTTACTATGAAGAAAGGAGAGCAATGTAAAGGGGCAAGTGATGAGAGTGATGTGTAAACTGAAACGAACTAGTAGAGGCGAAAATTATGAGATTGATTGCTGATCTCCGGCCGCTTTCCATGCCTTTTGGGCTCTCCAAGTTCGGGGAACAGACAGAATGAATCTATCCATAGTCTGAAGTTCATTACGGGTGACCCCTCTGACAACAAACCTCAGCTAGACACCCAGCTAGACATGGAAGGTCCACCAATGGGGAACTGTGAGTGAAACCCTGATTTCGCTCACCTACACGACTAGTCTACTGGTTTCGAGGCCCACTTCTATAGGTTACGCTGTCCACCTCGCGACCGAAGCATCGTCTAAAACGAGTAAATAATGTTGTGACCCGATGAATGTTTGCTCGTTCGCTGAGTAATCTCTCCTTTCCGGAGAACTGGGCTACGCTATTTTATCAACTCCGAACTTTCCTCTTTCGTGCACCATGGAACGTTCTTATCTTTCCTACTTATATTGCATCGTAACTTGTTCTTCTTATGATAATAATTGAGGTAACTCTTAAAATAGAGGGAAAATCTTTTCATCTATTTTTTCCTGATCGTCCAGCGTTTTTTGGCGGAGGGGCTTCATTTAAAAAATTCGACGATTATTTTTTTGTGTCTAAATATGTAAACATACAAAGGCGGTATGGTTATTTTGCTGTGCCCTTAACTTCACTTAATCAAACGATTCATGATTCCATAAGTGTGGTGATACCTACCGTATTTCAGAGCTTGAATCATCTATCGCTGTTGTTTGGAGGGAATTTACTAAGTAATTTTGCCCGTGTCTTGTGTTACACACTACAGTAATCCCTCCTTACTGTGGGATCGATCCCTTTCGTGTTCATATGCTTCTTTCTCCAATGATCTCCTGGACGTTTCTTCCTTTTCACGTGCCTTTTCTCTTTCTCTCTTTTTTAGACTTTACTATCTACCTTATGCCCTATTGACACAGTACCACCTTTGTGGTCATCCCACATAGCATTTTTCAAAGTTCGTCATTCACCAGCATGTCGTTCTTTGTGAAGCCTAGCATGTGGGGTAACTCATCTTTCCAATCTTTTCCGTTCTGTAATGGCTTCCGGGCGCCTGAGCAGAACCCTGGCCGGACGGGCAGCCGATCACCTGCACACCATTTGATAGTCAATGTGTTCAGTGGTGTTGGCATGAATCACCCACCCCCCATTCTCGCTATGTGCTGTCCCACACAGACACAGCTGTTCCGCCAATGATGTGAACTTACCCGATGACTAGGAGACTCCTTCTAAGCCTATCGTTCAAGTGCATTGGTGTACTGCCTGAGGCTCCCCTTCGTTCCCCATTACGATGAGAATTTGGGCATCCTGCACTGACGCCCATGTCGTCTTTACCCTCCTCTTCCCTGATGTTTCAAGAATTTCTTTTCATGTTCCCTTGTTCTTCTTGCGATTCGCAAAACCTATTCCTTTTCTGGTGTCCTTTTTGTTTCACTAATTCCTTTAGTTTTTATTGTTTGTTTCAGAAAAAATCCTCTTGTAAAGACTTTTGATATGGAAACAATCGCATCGACTGAGAAGCCTACCCAGCAGCCAACTCCTTCTTGTGCTGGATTGCCTCAAGTGAGTATCCAGTAATTCAAATTTTACGTTCTTCTCCAGCAGATCTGAAGCTTTTCTGGTTTAGTCTAGAATCCATATCGCTGTTTTCCATTGAGTAGTAGTTGCATGTTTTTTCGGAATGGATTTTTTGGTAATCATTGTCTCGAGATGATAGCGAAATTCCCAAGGATATTTTACTGAGTTTTTTTGTAGGCTTATTCTGCATTAATGTGAAGTTTGATCGAGGTCTACTGGAAAGGTTTCTACCTAAACTACTCAATTGTGGTCTCATCCAATACCGCCCTTTGATTATTCCTTTCGACTCATCGAAAAGTATGGTAGTTTCTCCCAGCTTTCAACTCTCTAAAGACCCTATGTGAGGTCGCCAAAATGTTGAAGTGTTGACAAAGTTCACGATCGAAAGCGGACAGGAAGGAAAGGAAAAACATGAGGGAGGAGATAATAGAAATACTCTAGAAAGTCTGCATAATTCCTCCGACCTTACTCTTTGCAATCTGCCTAATCTCATTTGGTCGGGGAATGTTTTGTGGTTATCCTTTGGAGGCGACTGAAACTCCGTCGGCGAAAAGGCAAAGGCGGGATTGATCTTACCTACCACCCACCTAGTTGGTATAGTAGTTCATTGAAATCCAAGTTCTTTCAAATATCATCAATTACATATGGTAAGGAAAAGGGCGAGAACTTGGAATTTGTGACCAAAGGGGTATCAAAAGATAACCAGCGGTAGGACTCACTTCCGAGTACTACCGTCTGGTCATTCCACCACAGAGTTACTGCATAGTGAGGAATGCTATCAGCTTTCAAACTGGTAGAGGGAGAATAAGCTTCCGGGTGCGAGTTCGGGAGCATAGAAATCTACAAAAAGATTTTGACTTCATTAAAATAAAGTCGAGCAAGCGCTAAGCGAGACTATGTTGTTCTAATGTAATGTAGTGAATAGCATTGGAATGCCGCTCAATTTTAATTGTTACCTTTCTCACCTCTCAGTTATCTTGGAAATGCTAAGAATGTTAGGCACTCGTCTATTTATTTTTTCAACGTACAATACGAATTGCTTCCCATCAATTAGTCGTCCTGTCCTTGCAATCACTCTAAATACTTGTAGACCAACTAGTGTGGGGCTACTATCAGCCGTAATTGCCATTCGATGTTTCCATACACAGAGGAAAGCTTGAAACATTCTTTCGATTGGATTTTTTCTGGTAATTTCATGAACTGTATGGGAAATATTTGGTAGCTACGGCAGCGCACTGGGAGTGCTGTTTGGAGGACGCAGTTGTGATTATGGTCTCAATGCTTTTCACCTAAAATCCCATCCATAGCTCTAAATTCTTTACTCAACCTACTACTCGAAGGTTTCCTGAAGTAGACCAATTCATCTTGTTCAGATTCATCAGAATGCAACCGATCGGCTGAAATTATACGAATCAGATGTTAAAGAACGCTTAGCACAAAAAGCCGAACGACAAAAAGAGCAAGAATTTTTACGGTAAGTAAGCACGGCTTTCACAGGAAAACTTCAAGACTCGATCGTATCCATTTTCAGATCCTCACTGAGGCAGTCGAAAAAACTGAAAGCCCTGTCAACGACGATAGAGAAACCCGTGAGCATTGACATGCCCGAGGTTAGCCCGAGCGATGGAAAGCTCGAGACGCGAAACATTAATGGTTACGAAAATCAGTGTTATGAGCAAGGAGAATTTGTTTACGGAAAGATCGAGAACAACAACAACCAGGCAATTCGTAAGTTTAAGATCTTCGATTTGTTTCGAATAAAAACTTTTAGAAAAATTCGGTAGTTATTGTGAATTGTCAAGTGCTACATGACGTTAGACAACTCCTTATTGTAAAAGAGATGGCGCACGAGCCGATGAATCGGCGTCAGATCCCGAAATTGAAAGACGCCGCTTACAGTCGATCGAAACATTACATTTGTAAACAACATAAACTCATTCTGATCATACATTGACATAGTGGAAGGGGGTGGGGGGGGGGGGGGGGGGGGGGGGNAAGTGATTTGAGCATTCCTTATTTTTGGAATATGTCCCATGAAAGTTCATTCCAGTACAAATCAAGGAATTAATCTTCTGCTCATGATTTTTGATGATTTCGCTCATTAGAATGGTATCTGAACGCTTGATTTCCTATATGATTAGTCAATGATATTCTCGTAGTAACGCTTGGAGTAGAAGAGGTTCAGTTAGGATGTAAACGGAGAGAAGGGCGGTTGGGGAGGGATTGCAGGATTGATTCCACATAGGAACGAGTAGGCCATGGAAGTTCGCCCACACTTGATAGCTGTGTGGTCTGTTGGACGAACTGAGAGATTTTGATAGCTACGACGATAAGCTAACCTCGAAGTATTTTGGAAAACTCTAATAATAAATAATCTCCTCGATCTGGTGATAAAAATTAAAAGATCACGTCTGACTTAGCGCCATTGATAGAAATGCCATTCCAGCACTGAAACAAGTAATCGTTTCTGTCGACCGAATTACGGATCACTTGTCGCGATTGGAAGGCAAGGAAGAAGAATCAAAGATCCTTCACGAATTCTTCCATTCTGAGCCCGTTCAAGCAGCCATTGAGGCAATCGCTGTACATCGAACATCGGAGGTCTTCGGTTAAATTCTTTTAACATCTTTTCTCTTCCTGAAGTTCTTTCACTTCAGAAGACGAAAAACGACGGGTCGTCAATTATAGCCAACGGGACGACTACGCACAACACCACCACTTCAACAGAGCCAAACATCCACGTTGTCAGTCTCTTCAAACGTGAAGATGGTTACCTGGTGGGTCTATTTCTCTCCGCTATCCACCCTTATAGGAATGCGTGCTTCTGTTTAGAACCGATCCTCATCATCATGATCATAGTAGATCCTAAAGTAATAGCTAGACGGTAAGTAATAAGAGTGCTGCAGATTTTCACCGCTTGTGTGTTCAGTGCAGGATTGCTGTGTGTTCTTTTCCTTACCATCGTTTACCACTCGTTACGATCAAGATTCTTATCTCTTACACTACGAATCGTCCTCTTGTTTAACTTATGCATTGTGTGATGTGGATTATAGACGTGAACTGGCACAAATTTATAGAAAACGCTTAACAGGATTAGTTGACAGTGAAGATCTTCGGGAAACTGATGCACTGCTATTCAGGGTGCCACAGTCCGAAACCAGGACGATCGCATTGTTATTGGACGGGTTGTAAAAGGAGGAGTTGTTGAAAAAACGGGTTTACTCAAAGAGGGTCAGCATTTTCACTTCTTTTCGATTGCTTCGCAACCGTTAGGCTGTCTCTGAATGTACCGTAAGAAACTCTTTAATTTTCAGGTGATGAGCTCTTGGAAATGAACGGAATAGATCTCCGAGGCAAGAACGTCACAGAAGTTTGCGAATTATTGGTGAGTTTGTCGCTTTTCCCCAAGAAGAAATTCTTTGCAGAAGAGATATTCTCCGAAAAAAATTTGGAGGACTGTTGATCACACTAATTCGTATCGTAGACCGAATTCAACTAGCTTTGCACTTTCGAGAACGCTCCATCTGAGGCCTTTTGAACACGCTCCTGAAGGCTGATAGTGAAAGGGATGTGACAGGCTTTTGTAAGTCGAAAGACTCCTCCTAGACTATCTCACACTGCAATTGCGGAATGATTCAGAGGGTGCTGTCCATAAGAAAGCAATTTGGTCATAGGGGTAACTTAGCCGCTCACTTCATGGGAACAACAGTTAACATATGAATCGAGCCTTTCTGTTTGGCATGACGGCATTCAAACCGCATCAAAGATCGGCATAAGTCATCCTGAAGCAATGGCACATAGCCACGAAATCCTTTACCTTCATGTCCTACATATCTGATGAAGCTCCTGCTGTTTGAACATCACGGAGCAAGATCAGAGGGGCTTCAGTATTACCTGATAGCATTCATTTTAACGTGACTGTAAGTCATCACAGAAAATTAGTGGTAGGTGTAGCTTAAGAGTAGACTATTACAATAAGAGTGATTCAGCCGACTTTTTACAGCGGACGATCTCTGGCGAGGTCCGTTTTGTGGTGTCTTCTTCGGTCTCTCAGGAAAAGACAACATCATCATCCTCTAAAGTTACACATATGCGAGCTTTATTCGACTATGATCCTGAGGTAAGCCTTAAAAATAAAACTTGAGACCATACCTTTCGAAAACTTTAGCACGATAGATTTCCATTCCCATCTATTACGATGATGAAGTTTCTTCGATGCAATTCTAATTGTATTATAATATATTCAGGACGACATTTACGTCCCATGTAAAGAATTGGCATTGAAATTCCAACGTGGTGACATTCTGCATGTGCTTAGTACGGATGACGAAAATTGGTGGCAAGCTTATCGTGAAGGGGATGATACGACACAGTCGCTTGCTGGACTTATCCCGAGTTCGAGCTTTCACCAACAGTCAGTTTTGTGTCCACCTAATACTACGGCCTTCTCATGAGCAAATGTTCAGAGTCGTGTTGTACATGGATGAGCTTGAAAAAGATGAAAAGCCGAAATGTCGGACAGAGTCTAGGAAGAAATTGCATGAGGTTTGCGATGAAGCCCAGTTGGAATCTATCGTTTGACCCGTCTTTTTAGTTTCAGGTCATTCGAACGCTCGGCCGAAAATCTTCCAAGGAAGTTCAGCGCAGTGCTGATGAACCGGTTAGGAACAACATTGGTTACTATTCAGGTGATTTACCTATAGAAGATGCTTTCAATCACGTCGATATATCCCAATGGAGTTTGAGAACGTACCCGAAAGTTCTCAAGCTCATTTTGCTTATCGAAGGGTCTGTCAGTTCAAATCCCATGTGAGTTAGTTCTGTATTGCAGACCTACTAACTTACGAGGAGGTTGTTCTGCATCTGGCACGAACCGACCGAAAGCGACCGCTTGTGCTGTGTGGTCCTGAGGGCGTAGGATGTCTGGAATTACGACAACAACTGCTCGAAAGTGACCGAGATCGTCTTGCTGGACCAGTGCCATGTGCGTTTATATATTGGAGATTCTATAGCAGAGAGACGGAATGGGGAAAGTGGACAGAAAAAGATATTCCTAAATTAAACCTTGCTACTTCTAGCAAGTTTCGGCGCGAAGTAAACGTTATTGCGGAGATTAGTAGCTCATTAATGATGCTCTAATGCTGCGCTCTGAAAAGAATAATTCCAGACACAACTCGTCCTCAACGAGACGGCGAGATCGACGGCATCCATTACCATTTTATTACAAAACAGCGTTTCCTAGAGGACTCCAAGGTAGGGTATTAAATGACGATTTCCTTGTACTGGCAACTTCATTATTTGGAACTTGAGCATCCGCTTTGACGCCTCCTATTTAGGCCATATTTTCCAAATAAGAAACTTAATTTGCGAGTGTTCAGGCTGGAAAATTTGTTGAATACGGGGAGTATGAGAAAAATCTCTACGGAACGGCAGCAGTGGATATTGTGAACGTCATAAAGAGGTCGAAAACTTGCGTGCTCACGCTTAAAGCTGAGGTGAGTATTGGAGTTAAGAAGAATCAGCATTCGCCTATGAAATGGGCTGAGCTAATACCAACTGTGCTATATCTTCACGCCAAAACACAAGGGGCAGTCGTGTTTCCTGTAGCTGGAATTCTGTTGTTTATGCAGAGATCTCTCAAGGTTACTATTATAAAAGCAATTTCAATGATTCCCTCATCCCTGACTGCTGAAAAGCTGTACTCCGCTACTTATAATCTAACGTCATTGGCTGCTTTCATAGTCCGCCGGCCGGCGTGCCTCGAAGGGGCGTGGACTGTTTGCCTATCTGTCTGCCTCCCTCCTCCCCCCTAGCACTGCCTGCTTTCATAGTCCGCCGGCCGGCCGGCCGGCGGACTATGAAAGCAGCCATTATGACGAATTTGGCGCGCGATGTCCCATCCCACCTCCACCTCTCCAAGGCGCTCCCTACCTTTCCAATCCTCAGATAAAAGAGGGAATGTGAAAAAAATATTAGACATTTAACACAGGAATTCCATAACGTTGTCCCGGCCACTAGCCGGTGTTACAACGTGAGTATCGCTGACTATTATCGCTTTTTTTTCAAATGATCATCTACGGGTGCTTTATTAGCACTCTCCACTCGCTCCCAGCTGTGTCCCGGCTCTGCGGAACTCCCTGCTCTGCGAACAATATTCAACCTTGAAAACGTTCTATTGCTATCTAGCCATTTCTGCAGCTTGTCCTGGAACTCTGCCTGATTCTCCGCCATCAGAACGATAACATCAGCGAAGAGGATGGTCTTCAGTGGTCCATCCAGCAGTTCTTTTTTGATGACATCCAATGTGAGTAGGAAGAGGGACGGCCTTAGGGCTAGTTTTTGATGTACCCTAACATTGACGAAGAATTTACTCGGATTAAAGAGCCCGGAAACCGTCATTGTGTTCTTAGGGGCATACCATGTTGATTTTGGTCTAGAATTCGAGCGCAGTATCTCAGTTACCAGGCTTTCTGTTGAAGAAAGGCTTCTATCCAACCAATACGTGGTCGCCTATGGTACACAGTACGCACGTACACACCGAAGTGTTGATGAAATCCTTTTGAGCCTAAATTTTTTTGTGAAACTCGCTCGCTTTGCAGTCGTTGATCGCTGTTCGGACACCTGAAATAATGCCGTTCATTCTCTTCGTCGCTCCTCCTTCACTGCAGACGTTGCGCAGGCAGAAGGAATGTGCAGGACAATTCAACGTCAAGGATGAAGAACTGAAGAGTATTTTGAGTCAAGGGAAGAGCATCGAGCAGGTTAGGCACTTCTTTTTCGACTATCTCAATGATAGATATGAAGCCCAAACTGCTCTGATAGAGAACAGTTTGACATAGCTAGCTGCTTTTCTCACCGTTTGCTTGCAGAAATTCGGGCATCTTTTCGACTGCATCATCGTGAACACGGATTTCAACAGATCTTTGGAAGAGATGAAATCCATTCTGAAACGTCTGGAGACCGAACCGCAGTGGGTGCCGATTGAGTGGACTACATGATTGTTGCGCTATTTGCAAACTTCTCTCCTTTCTCCTCCGTACGGGCTAGACATTTGCTTTGCTTTCCCATTTCACTGAAAACTACTTACGCATTTTATATTTTCTGTGAGGTCATCACGATAAGCAAGGGCTTTTGCACAAATTTTTTCATTATTTTGACTTCACATTTCCTAGTCGAAGTGATCCCATGTCGAAGGGTATACAATGTGATTCCGTTTGTGCGTTTAAAATCAAATACTCTGTGATCATAGCTATTTAAATGAAAAGCATAAAAGTTCTAACTAACCTACTGTTACCTTCTGGATATGGACCAATGAAGATCTTTTTTACCACAAAAAAAGAATAGAAACTGGTTTAAGCGACAGTTCGTGGAAAATAAGGTTTTCGAAAAAGAGTGGAAGTAGAGGTTGTACGAGATCACCATGACGGAAATGGCACATAAAGGGTATTTGAACGAGATTCTAGCTGCTACAATTGCACAAAGAGCTAACTACATTCAGCCAAAACTGTACAAAACTTCTTCCTCTCGCGAAGAGTCATGATCATTTGTTCAAAGTTCCCACATGGGAGTGTCTTGAGATGATGCACTCCCACTGAACCACTTTTTACTGCTTACTATTTGTTTAATACTGTAAGGAAACTGAAGTACCACCAAACGAATGCTTCTCTATCATTTACTTAATAGTGCATTTTTCATGGGGCTGACCGCAAATTTTACTGCATAGCCTATGAGGACCACAGCGTCCCTCTGTTGAAAAAGGGAAACTCAGTTGTCAATGGTTATCAAAATCCGGCTTGTACCTCATAACCACATATCTACCCGTGAATGCCCGTAACTGAAGCTCCATAAATCTCCATGTGAATAAGCTGGCCTGAAAGAGTCAGAGTACAGGGGCTATGCGAAGGCCATGTAAAGACAGTTACGAAGAGCTTTGAAGGTTATTTCAAAAAAGTTCACGAATCTCGCTATACGTATTGGCCGGCATGTAGTCCTGATGAGATCGAAAATCGATAATCAAAAGTAACATCTTGTAACATCAAAAGTAACTTTTCGAATTTTGTTGTGGACCTTCGTGGTTTTTTGGAAGAAAAGTGGGATGTCGGACGCACCCGTTGGGGATTATAGGAGATAGACGAAGGGAGAACCCCTACGCTTTCAAATAACTCGAACAGGTGTGCACTCTCCACCGCTGTCGACAGATGGTCCAACGAATTCCAGTTACTTTTTGGGGAGAAGCATTGAAATAAAACAAAATAGTACACATTGACTTCTTTATTCCTGTTCATTGTTGACGATGTAAGGTATGTAAGCAGGTCATCTACTCTCTTCTGCTTCACATGAACACTGTTCCATTCTCTCCGGGTTCACTCGACAGCAAATGAGGGAACACTGGAACTGCAGAATTGCTGCTCATCAGTCTTGTCCAGTCGCTTGCAGTTTCTGTAACAAATCTTTTCAGTTTTACGCGTTATGCGGAAAACTAACCAGATTTCCTACCTGTCTTCCATCCAATCACTTAGTAAGAAAAACGCCGGCGTATCGTGATTGTGGCAGAGAACTGCCAAGGCGTTGGGAGTGAAGGGGAAATGGACTAGCGATAGCCATCATTCGTGCGAATCTTCTGATTTGTGGTCGATTTATATAGTAGGATGAACTGACATGTGTCAATGTGCTGTTTGATGGCGCTCCCCTACCGTGACATGAAATGGAATTGCCCTCTCGATTGTTTGCTATCTACCGATGCTACCGCAAGACTGAATCGCTCTGGCGAGGCCTCATAAATGTTGATGCAAAGTTTAGAGGTTCATTTTGATGGGATGTGGTAGGGGTCAGGCAAACATAATAATGTCGCAACTCAATTGGAAAGTATTGGGAGTATTGACATCTCATCGACGGTCGCTAGCCACCAATATTGAGTCCAGTTTCGAGCTTTTACTGAGAAGATTTGAACTCCTAGCTGGGCTCCCGAATAAAGGTAGGTTTTGGCTCAGGCAGCTGAACAGAAAACCTTATTTTCCGAGCTCCAGCCTCGCCTTCCTATGAGGACATTTCCCCATCACCACTGTCTCCCGATTGACACGTTGGCCGCTTGCAGAGCAAACAATCATTTGATTATTTCGCACGATGAGCTCCTCCTCCCTGCGACATTGAGAAGAACTGTCAGAACTGTCTCACGGGGATGTTGTCAAATGGAAAGCTCGAAGTATTGTCTACGACTTACGGCAAGCATTTGCATATGCGGGAAATGCACTCTAACTTCAGTTCCAAAATTATTTTTGCATTCGTATCGCAGGCTCTGCTGCTTGAGCACCCTTTCCGCTAACTATAGACACTGTATGTGAACACACCGTTTATAGTTATCGTAAATTCAAGGATGGTAAACTCATCCTTGTACTTTCCCTTCTCTGTAGAGGTTGTTGGAGACCTTTACAAACATGGGTTGAGAACATGGAAAACTGTTATTGCAAAAGTGAAGTCAACGAGAAAGAAAACTCAAAATTGTAAGGGTTGAATTTCTTGTCAGCAGTCACTTCGGAAAGAAACCCCTAAAAATTCTGTTCAAACGCCAGGTTGTATCCCACATGATCCAGTAACGTCCCTTTACGCTTCGTCTGGGAGAAGAATTGGACGAAAAAAGCAGTGTCAAGGGATATGGAGGGAGAACTGGGAAGAAAATTGCTAGGATCTCGCTTTTCGCACCTTCTCCTACGTGTAAATACTTGCTAGGTCCTGTTCGCAACTTTTCCACATCCCCACTTTTCATCTCTGAGTCGGTCATTTTCCCATGCGAATTCAGACGTTCGTCTGTTTCCACCTTTTTCTCTGTTGCAACTCAGCGCTCTACGAGAACGACCTTTATTTTGATAGCAGTGATGAGAAGAGTGAGAACATTCTTTACTCAACCTCTCTGAAGTGTCTCATAAACACGCCATTTCTAGGGGCTGAGTGCATCGAGAGTTCTGAACTTTCCACCTACAATTACCTAGGTGGGTATCCTCCATACTTCTCGCAGTGATTGCAGGTGAAATTTGTTCACTCCAATTACTTGTTAAGGTGATAGGAGTCACACCATAAGTGGTGAGCAGTGCCTTCCCTGGAAGGAAGTTTATGACATCACTATGAAAGAACTCAAAGGAAAAGATCTCAAAATCTATATGGAGTAAGTTCGGGTGTCTTAGAAATTGCTATATATAGAATTGATGGGTGTCTTACCTGGGCTCAGATCTGGAGTGGATCTGCAGAACACATTTACAGGGTGTCCCAAGATTATGGGCGCCAATTCATGGCAATGTATTTAAGGCTCCTCAGCTGAGAATGACGATGGGGTCAATATGCACGTTCGCCCATATTATGTGCTCCAACATACTACAACCACATTTCCAAAATATACCCAATGAGCGCGGATAAAAGCCCAGTTTGCTCTCGGACTCTTCGCATACCGTTCTTGAGTTTTGCTTTCTATGCCCCAAACTGGAACTGCGAATCCGGTGAGTTCTCTTCTAATCAGGAATCCTACGAAGGAGTCAAGTGAGTGAAGATCCGGAAGGGAGGACGACCATTCATCTTTGCTAATAACGTCGGGCAGCTGGAGTCGGTACCGGGTGTGGTGCAGTAGGAACGAAATTGCCGCGTCGCGGTGAAAGAGACGCCGCTCGCGAAGGAATGTAGCAGGATGCAGTAACCCGTATGGAATTCAGTAGCAAAATAACTAACAGTAGAATCATCATGCCATAAGTAATGAGCGCATAGCGATTGAGCTATATGAAGCACACTAAACTGTCACGACTAGGCAAATGGTACGCGACAGCCGCGTGCGGCGGATCAATTACCCAAAACCGTTCCTACTGCCCGTCTCCCGTCGGCACCCCTCCCATGCGAGCTTGGCTCTGTGAGGTTCACTAACGTTCTGCTGGCAGGACTACGGGCTGTTCAGGGAACGGAGTCGGATCAGAGCTTCATTATGTCGATCAGTATGCCCTTTGGCTACAGGTCTCTGTCAACTTTCACGCCAGCACCGACGTAACCACGAGCGTCTCACCCTTGAGAGTGACTCCCTCAGAGGAAAAAAATAATTTCGGTGTTTTTATAGCAACTTTTTTTGTGGGATATCGCACTTTCGATGTTTGTAGTCAGAACGTGAACGTTTTATTTGCTAAGAATTTTTTTTTGGCAAAAATTTTTCAGCTACAGAAAACTATGAAGTTATGCGTTTCTTGCCTCAGGTAAATTAGCAACTTTAGGCAGTTTTAGACCCTATCCTGTCTTATGAGATCGTGAATGAAGCGACGTTTCTGCATACGATAGGAATAGTACTAAAGGTTCTGCTTGACAATCCGCCCCACCGAAAACTTCGATAGGCCTGCTTTGTTGTCGTTTTTTTTTTGATGGGTCATCTAAGTTGACGATTGATTCGCGAACGGACCATTTAAATAGTCCTATCCCTACAAACACTGCCCTTTTCACCCCTTTCTGGTTTGCCTTTGTTTGAATATCTTCCTCTTCATCACCTAATGGGCTTCTGTATGGATACTATAGGAAACACTAGGGATTTCGTAATGTCCTTTCGTTGCTTGCATGGCAATTACAACAAGTGGCATTGACTGCAATCTAAACGATACTGGGAGTTTCACATCAGTAACATCATATTGCAAGAGAACCTACTTGTGCAACTAATTATTAGCGGGTGATGTAGAATCGGTGAATTAATTCTAACTCAGAAGCTTCTGAATTTTGGCACCCATAAATCCGGGAAACCCTATACAATAAAATTCAAGTACCTTCACAGTGCGCACGGCACGCTGTTCGGATCCCGTGCCAAAATCCGCCCATGCCAAAAGGCGTGGAATCGTGAGAATCTGTTATTAGCTGTCAAAACGTCTTGATGCAAGCGAGTGTAGAAGAGTCCTACAATAGACTAATCATTCACAATGACGTGCAACGATCTGGTTGATGAGTGGGATCGATACCGGTATAAAGCCATCTATAGTGAAACCTTGAA